TATATATATATATATATATATATATATATATATATATATATATATTAATTGGGTATATAGCTGATTAAAAGCCAAGTGCACTCTGTTCAACAGTTCATTATATTTAGCCAATTTTCATTGGCATCATCAGATGAAAGTTGATTGAGGTTGCAGCAATATGATTTATTTTAACATCAGAATGGTTTGTGGTACAATGTGGATTGCAGCTTTTTGGGACGTATAACATGTAGTTGTATAATTGACGTTCAAAATTAAAATATTTTAATTTTGAACGTCTAAGTCTTTAGTTTAAAATCTAAACTAAAAAGAGAACAAATTTATAAATAATTTTTGAATGTCTTTGAAATAGCAGCGTAAGTTTATTATTACTCATGTTACAATAAAACCAGTAAACAGAAGAAAAACAGCTACACCATCAAGAAAATAAAGTACCAAGTATTGTCTGACATCAAATCGAGCGAAGCCCACTATATGCAAAGATTTTTTTAAGATACATTAAATATTTCTAAGGGGCTGTAAGGGGAGCTTTGAACAAAATAAATTCCAGTGGTATATTTCTTCTAGATATGAGAGGAAAAAAAGCACCACCAAATAAAATTAAAATAGATTATACTTTCATTAGGGATACCGTAGCGACACCAAATGCCGTACAAAAAGTACGTATAAATTCTTAGAATCAACATTGAATGTTTTGTACAGTTTGTATAAGAAAAAATAGTTTGAACGCTAAACATACAGCAGTTTCCTTTAAAAAATATGGAAAGATTTTTAGGAAATATAAACTTAAGTTTCAAAACCCAAAGAAATATGGTTCTAAAGTATACATTGCCAATAAATAACGTGCTAAATATGATGACATTGATTAAGAATCTTATAAAGAACATTGCAATCGGAAAGAAGGTACTCGAAAACTAAGAGAGAATGACAAAAAAATTGACAAAATTCAAAACCATATTTTAGTTTTTTAGTCAGATCGTCAAGCTCTTCTGTCTACTCCGAAAGACCCTAGTGGTCCCTTCTGCTATGTTCGAAAACTTGCAGTTTATAACATGACAATTTATAACCATAAATATGGAAGTGCAACTTGTTACTTTTGGGACGAAACAGAAGGACGTCGTGGAAGTGTTGAAAGTTCAACATGCATTTTTAAATATATAATGGCTTAGATTTTTTAAACCGGGACACAATCAAATGAAATGTAATTCAATACAATCTAAAATTGAGCAACAAGTTAAGAACCTACCAGTATACACAATAGAAGGTTGGACTAAAGTTATAAGAACAGCTCGCAAAAACCTGAACCATTTACCATTTAGTTCTCTAAAAATTTACAGATTTTTGTCTAGATTAATGTAATTTTCGTGGTAAAGGCAACAGTAATACAAGTCTACCATTTAGGAAAGCAATTTGGTTTATGTACAAAAAAATAGATCTAAATGTTGCATTCGTTAAAACAAATTATGAAGAAACGACATCGATTAAGCTTATATGTACTTAAAGCACAACGAGGTCGTCCATCAAACTTCAAACCAGCTACGCCTTATACTAATCAACTCCTCATCTCCATTTCTAAATACAGAGGCGTTAAAAAGTTATGTGAAGAGGTTCAGATTCCTCATGCATGCCATGGATTTTATGAAAGCCTTCCTAGCCAAACTGTTATAAGGGATACGCCACCTGAACCAAATATTTCAGAAGAATCTGAATATGACGACACAACATAATTTAATTTCTTTTTATTGCAATTTTTGAGATTTGTGTTCATGGTTTTGTTATTTTCATATTTGTTATAATATTGTACCGTATTATATCTCCTAGGAGCTGTCAATAAAAATTAATATTAGTAATATAAATATTATATTGGCTAAAAATTAATTATAGGAAATGGTACTTAACATAAATACTAAAGTATATTTAATACTTTACATTAGCCTAAGTATATTGGACTAAGTGAGAGCGCCCACCAAAGTGGCGTGGCACGTGGCAAGTGGCAAGTAGCACGCATCTAGCATGTTTCTTAAAATGTAACCAATGAAAACGAATGATTCAGCGCACACCAAAATGACAGTGACGTCATTCATTCTAATCATTCGTTTTCATTGTTTACATTTTAAGAAACATGCTAGACGCGTGCTACTTGCTACGTGCTACTTGCCACGCCAGTTTGGTGGGCGCTCTCCCTAAGGTAAAATTTTGCAATAGATTACCAACGAATCTGCGTTTTTTGCCAATTGGAAAAATTAGTATACTAGATTAAGTTAGTTATATTGAGACACATCTATAGAATCTAATACAAACATGTCGTATATTTAGGTTAATAACCCAATTTTTTACATTAACTTGAACTGTCTTTTAGCTCTCCTGTAAAATTTAAATGTTGCAGATTAGTTACTTAACCATACGAGGGACGATATGTTGCCGAAGAAATGTTTGTGTTGGATGTATTTGCCAGGAGGGAAATGATTGCCGTAAATCATGAGATTTTATCATTGGTATCTTTCTCGGATGTACTATTATTTGTATTATTAAATTATCTATTTAACTATCTTTAATTGTATAAAAAATTATGCAAGGATCCTAGTTATGAAACTGTAAATTTGCGATTCTTTGTTAAAGTAGGATTGTAATTAAATACGTTATAATTATTAGATGTTATTGTAATTGATTTCATGATTATTTATCTGATTGAAAAAAAGCAGAAGTGAAAAATGAATGATTCCTCAAGGTGAAGCTTGTAATGTAATATTTTATGCTTAAGATATATTCGCCTTCACTATCTACTTTGTGAAAATTGTTATGAGAGGCTCATAATATGGTAATTACAATGTTACTACTTTAGACAAATTATCAAGAAATTTAATTATTATTGTCAAGAAAAGTAATTTAAATTACAGAAAGTAATAGTAATAAAAATTACTGCCTTTAAGATATACCATTAAATTTTACGTCTATTATGCAAGAGCTATTATTATTATATATTATTATATAGAGAGTTATTATTCCACGAAAGAACGAAGTGAATTTCAATAAGTGCAAAATAGGATATAGGATCACCAGACGAGTTTTGTATTATAATTTTTCCATAAAGAATGCATTTTTCAAAAACCTACCGAAAAACCAGTGTAAGAGATATAGTATGCATATTCATTGTTATAAAAAAAATAAATATATAAAAAACCGAGCAAATATTTGTAAGAATTATTATAATCCCTGTCACCAAAAATGTATAGTAGTCCAAGGTTTGAATATAAAAAAATAATTGTAGTCAAAACCTCAGATTTTTTGTATCTGCATCGATTTGCATGAAAATTTGTTAGTAATTTCAATGTATCCTCCCGTTTTTTTACGGTGAAAAATATCACTTTTCTTCCAAATTCATATAAGCTAAAAGTAAAAATTATACCAGATAATTATACCACTAAAATATATCGGAGAAATATTGTTTTCCGCAAATCGCCAGGAAATGTTGACACTCCTGTCAAAATTTCTTGAAGAAAAAGTCAGGACTTCCTTACTGTAAGGAAATGTCATTTCCTTACTGTAAGGAAATGATATTTCCGTACAGTTGTTAGTGTTCTACATAAATGAGTTCAAGTTTGACAATTCAACCTCAATACGTTTCCATAGTAACCCAAGTAATTTTATTAGGAATTTCAAAGCACCATTTATTTGTGAATAAAATTATCGCGTTTTTTTTAAATCAATCAATATCTGTCGAATTTTAAACGATTTGCGAAAAAAAGTATGTTTACCTCGTAGGAAAAGCCACATTCCTGGACTCTGTGTTGCTAAGTCTCGGCTTGCGCCTCGACTTAGCAATCTTCACAGTCGTTTAGGAATGTTAAGCTTTTCCTACCCGGTAAACAATGTACTATTAATACTCTGAAATATTATTCACTAATTTTATTGTGCCAATCCTTGAACACCACCCTTTATTATGACTAAAATAATATTGTTAACTTTTCGAAAAAAACTCTAAAGAACATTTTTGTGTTAAAATTTACCATTATAGCGACTATAATGATTTTTTTTATAAACTGATTTTCCATCCACAGAGAAGTAAATATTGGCATTTATTGAATTCTGAGCAGAAAACTGTCATCCTGGGCTAAAGAGATTTTGTAAATATTTACATAATAATCAGAAGTAGTAAAATAGTTAAGGTTTCATTACATACTTTAATATATTACGTCTTAATATATATTATTTTTCTTATGTGAAGTTCACCTTCAAAGAAATTACAGCAGCGGTAGTGAAAACTCCTACAGAATAAGGTAAAATTATAAAACAGCCTTTGCCTGGTTTTTCATTTATAAAGGTAAATATACCCTCTACAAGAAGAAGTTAAATGTCTGTGACAATGAAAAGGTTTTTTTTAACATATTCTATATCCTTCAATTGTTGGATATAGGTCTCCCCTAGTTCTCTCCACCTTTCCCTATCTTGAGCTGTTCTCTGCTACGTATGACCTCCTTGTTTCCTGATGTCATCTTTCCACCTCATCTGTGGCCTGTCTCTTGATCTCTTTGCATTTTATAGACGCCACTTTCCGATGGCATTGTTCCATCGTCCGTCTTGGAGACGTTCATTGTGTCCAACCCATTTCCATTTCAGTTTTGCTGCTTGTTCTATCGCATCTACTGTCTTTGTTCTGGTCCTGTGAAAGGTTATCTAGCTTTAAATATATGACAGAGCAAATTGTGTCTTTTGGGTCTATCGTAGTTTAAGTAAACACCTTTCATTTATCCTTATTATAATTTTGCTTTCATTTATTATATACTTCTTTGTCCACTTTTAGAAATTAGTACACAGTGCAAACTAAAAAGCAAGGTCATGGCTGAGTGGGTTTTATGGCTTGTTAGCGATAATATATAAATGACCAATATCTTTTATTTTTGGAACTTAACTCGCTATTGATCTGTACTGATTAAAGTATTCTCAAAGTTATCGAAACAATTAGTTGAAAATTTTAATTTTACTAATTTACAAAATTTATTTACCTCTTTCCTGATGCCAAAATAGATAATAAGGAAGGCCACATATAACGTAGAGAATATAGCTAGAAATGTGATAAACGTGACATCACCCGTCACTGAGGTTCTGTTATTAAAGTTGTACAGGGTAGGGCCACCATCATTTCGAAATGCATCGAACCACCCCTTCATAGCCAGTTACCTGAAAAAAGACAAAATGGCATTTGTTATTACAATGTCGTTGTTTAATTAGTAAATGAATTGCACTTTAAACAATTGCACAATTTTTTGAACAAAAATATGAAGGATGTTTCCAAAGAAATCAGAAATAGTGTTGAGGACGATCCTTCATTTTCTTTCAAGACTGAAAGTTCCTTTAAGTATGGGTGATAAAGTTTTGCCATTATTGCAATATAGGGTTTTGATTTTTTAATAAACGAGCTCTGACTTTAAATGATTATTGGTGAATTTATTGATTCCCCAAATTAGTTAAAAAATAACAGTAGGTTAATATTATTTTATATGGGATTGAAACACAATTTTAATTAAAACTCCTTTACAATAGGTATATTTATTTAAAATACACATCACGTAGCCTTTCGTGCTACATCACGTAACGTTTTGGAAATTAATATTCCATGTTCTCAAGGTTCCTAAAGGTTTACGTGGTTAGGAAATTAAACATAGAGCTATGATTAATACTATTTATTACAGGAATTATTATTAAAATCAACAGTCTTCTGGGTTGAACTGCTACGAGTTTTTCATTGCGCTGAGCTTCCACTTTGTTTGTTTGTTCCACTTCCCGTTCAACTTCTCCAAGTCGAAGGTAACTTTATGCTGTTATCTGTTAAACTTTGACGTTTCGGCACCCATTTTGGAGCCACTATCCAGAGGGATATGGTTCCGTTCGAGTTCGGGGTCTCAATCAGCCTACCTCCTTCACTCTTGGCGTACCAGTATCTTGTTATGAAGAAATACAACAACCGTCAAACGGCACTGAAATCTGAATCTGTCTACTTCTCAGAGTCAAGTGACATTCTCTACTTCTGTTCGTAAGATTATTGGTTCTACCTCTTTGATTGCGTGCATTTTGTCTTTTCCGTCTGATGCATCTTTGAAGTGTCCTTATAGAATTTTTCATGTCTCTACAATGCTCTCTTATGCTCTAAATTTTTACTTCTTTATTATGGTCATAAAAGGCTTGAAGGTGTGCTTTGAACTCTAAAGGTAAAAGTAGCTTTTTTAAATAGTTCATGGCTTTACTGGCGGTTTGCAGTTGATCCATTTTTAAAACATGTGATTTATGTGGTTTTTTATCTTTGGTGCACATATATTTTATTTTCCTACTCAGTTGCGCTATTTCTTAAGTGTTAATTCCTGTTGTTGACATATATTGTAGCAAAACTATTCTTTTTCACTAATTCTAATGTTTCCCTTGACATTGAATGTTTGTTCTTTTAGGTTTTAAGCAGAGTACACTCTTTTTCCGCTGAATGTATCCAATTTTTTATTCCATTCCACGTTTTATTTATGTCTTCTAATATTTGTGGTTTTTCCTTGTTTATCAGTTTCATTTAGAATTCTTTTTTATGGTCCTAAAATTTACATTATCAATAGAATTCGGATGCTTTATAGACGTTCAGTAGCATTTCCGTTTTTTACTACTGGACTATAGAAACCAATTTCCCAGAAGTATAATTTTACTAGTAAAAATTTATTTTATCAATTTAATAGACATGAAAGTGGTTCAATTGTTTAAGTGAAATCAAAGAAATGCAGATTAATTATTATGATCCTTACTTAACCGATTTTTATCTCTAATAAATTAAAGTAAAAAACTAGGTTTTATGTTTTTTTTTACTAACATCATTTAAATTTGCATCAGATATTATTTTGTAATAATTTAAGAATGAAATATTATTATCGAGATTGAAAACGTCGGAAACAGAGCATTTCAAATTACTTTTAAACAGTGTAGTAGTAGTTTTTTACCTAGTTGTGTAGATTTTTCATGATGTTTCAAAATACAGCTAGGTGCTTTTTTGGTATGTTATAAGCAAAACAGAATTTTAAATACGATATAGTTTTCTTCTTGAAACTAAAAATTATTGTTACACCTCTAATTGTTCCATATCATTATTTCTTAATATCTTCGTTATTGATTTCTCTAGTACCCACTTGTTATTTCATTATTTTGTCCTTTAAAAAGTAGGATAAGACTAGCAGTAATAAAATTAACTAATCATTTAAGTTTTATGTTGTATTTAAACGCTGTGGTCTGTCTATATTTATATACATATATATTACTCACATAGTCACTAAAGCCCTTTCTAAAAAAAAAAAAAAAGAATATATATATATATATATATATATATATATATATATATATCTGATGATGCTATCAGCATATATATAACTGATTATGCTATCAGAATTCGATAGCGAAACGTCTTTAAAATAGATGAAGTAGTATCAACTTTGTCTTTTATTTATCCACCTAGTAGACCGATATTTGAACCCACCATTCGTCTGAGTGATCCTTATTATATATATATATATATATATATATATATATATATATATATATATATATATATATATATATATATATATATATATATATATATATACCAGTTACTGTTAGTTTTGTAATTAATTTTATTCTTTCTATTTTCAGATCTAAAACAATTTTTGCTCTGATTAGTCCATATCCCCTGCCTGTTTGTAATTTATTTATTAAACTGACATCTTTGAATGTAGAAATCTTGTTAGTTAGAATGAAGTTAAGTTAGTTCTTAGTGGTTCCATTTGGTGCTACCCAAGTTCATTTTCTGTTCGATTTTTTCTTAAATAATATATCCAATAGACTGAGATTTCCAATAGAATATTTTGGTAGTGTGTAAAGTGAACCAGGCTTTCTTCTCTTTCATTTATCTCATCTACTCCATACTTTACCATGACTTGTTCCTTGCTGTTTCTCTTTTCCATAAGGTATATATATATATATATATATATATATATATATATATATATATATTATATATATATATATATATATATATATATATATATATTTAATATAAAATTAATGTTTCTTGGGTTTAGGTTCAATAAAGATATGTTACATGTGGAACTAGATTTTATTTTCCATTGTAATCAATCAACGTTTCGGCAGGAAACCCTTGCCTTTGTCAAGATTCTAAAATGTGTATATATATAAGGACAAACAGATATTGTAAAATATGTATATATATATATGGGTTTCGGCAGGAAACCCTTGCCTTTGTCAAGATTCTAAAATGTGTATATATGTAAGGACAAACAGATATTGTAAAATATGTATATATATATGACTTACCAAAACGTAAAACGTGACACAGACATTAACGAACTGACATATAAAAGTTGATATCTGATATCTAAGAAACTCAAAACTACTATATATATATATATATATATATATTATATATATATATATATATATATATATATTACATTATGAGAACCACACATTCATGAAGAAGATGTTAAATAGTTACCTTAAAAAGATATGTAGTTGTCAATGGTATTAAAAAGTTAGTACCAAAACTCAAATAAATGGACATCATATGGTGATATTGTATAAACAATCAAATAACTAACAACATTTAGAGAATTAGTAAAAATTAGCAAAGCAACAGAACACGTGGTCTAATAAGCATATAATATTTTATATAATATTAACTAGTGAAAAAGAACTAAGAAAATCATCGATTCACTACCAACTATGTAAAAAATTATTTTATGACTTCATCTTAACTTTTGGTAGCATTATTTAAGTTATCTACATTGAGATATAAAAAATATATATAAAAAAAATGTTCAAATATTTTCATTCAAACTCATGTTAACTTTTTCAAATATACCGCCCTTAAATTAGTGGGTTGGTACTCTTAGCCTTGCTGTTCTGTCGAAGAATTTTCGACCTCAAGGTTGGCTGTCTGTTCATGTCATTGGCTCGGTATCTTTTAATTAACGCCATTTCAACCGCAACAGGTGCCAAGCATACAGTGTATACTAAATACATAATATTAAATTGTTTGTCAAAGTAAGTGTCCACCATTTTCTTCAATCCATTTATCAATAAGTTACATAAAATATCGTCTTATATTAAATAGCATCAATGGTTCAAAAGAAACTGTTTCAGTTAAAGTTCCCAAGTACTGATATTACTGTTAGTATGTTGTGCATATATTTCGTTTTCTAACGTTAGCGTTATAGCAATTTTTATCTCAGCACTATTCATAGTTTGATTAGATGTTGTAGGTATTCTATGCAAAATATTTTTTACCATTCTTTAATTACTAAAAATAATTATTCAAAACAAGACTTATTCTTAATTGTCAAAAGCATTCGTGACTTCAGTCTACTACGTTAGGATTTTCCGTAATGCATTTAATAAGACCGCAGTTGTCTAATGATGATATCAAAACTTGCTTCAAATAAAACACATAGCAGCCGTAACAAAGCACTTTGTGGTATTAAATAAGCATCTTTGGGCTGATTTTATAATAATAAATTAATAATTATGCTTATCCACAGGTATTTAGTGCATTTATGCATAAATACCATAATAAAGAATTGTTATGCAGCTGATTTGTAAAATCCGATAAAACTGTTGAGTTTTGAAGCTGAGAAACAAGTATATCTTTTTCTCGACATAATGTATCTTTAATATTTTTTGTTAGAAATAGCACTAACTTGAAGAGCAAAACAGTTAAGCGCAAATGTATGCCACATATGTGGCATATATGGCGCCATACATCAGCTACATCAAAGTATGTATCAAGTTATAATTCCTCTTACCTAGTCCCCAGTTCTAAAATTGTGTACATAATTATTCACAAACATAAAAGTTATAGCGAAAAATAAAATACATAAATATAATAAATAAATAAATATATAAATAAAAATATAAATATATAAATCAAATTAAAAATATTTAAATTTATAACACTCTGTTTCTTTTTTAATATCAACATTTTATAAAACCAAGTTGGCTTAAACCGTAAGATTTTAAAGTGTAGATTCCACTGTTTTTTTTTGTACAATTACTTAAGAACTATGTTTTTAAACTCTGCCTGGGGGTTATAAGCGTGAGGACTGTGTCGATTGAGTAGCTCAAAAGCCGCGTTCATGCTCACAGCCGGCCCCAAGCCC